CACAAAGGTCTTATGAGATACATACGAATTAGAGAGAGAGAGAGAGAAGAGTGAAGACAAACATATAGCACTCCCACATTTATGAATTCACTGATGATTGTGACGTCTTCAGTATACAGCCCACATTTGCACTGTAATTTCGTCCCTCAGTTGTACCCAAAATTATGGTCTGCTGTACTTTGAAAATTCAGCTGTTCAAGTTCCACCCTTTCTTCATCCTATTCATTTTCTGCATCATCTTCTTGTTCTTCTCTTGCACGCATCTCTGATAGCTATTCTCACTTACTTAAGAACTCGACATTAAAAATATATTTCATTGACAGACCTCTGTGCTCTCCTCAATCTAATGTAGTGTTGCAATATAAAGATGGTATTTACAATCTCGACTTGTGTTGCAATTGGGTATTGAACTTGAGATCTAATGAGCCAAAGTAGTATCTTGATTTCAGTATACTAAGTCTTTAAAGTCTTCAATATATTTTTTATACTTAATCTTTCAAACCCTGCACCGTATTGTTCACACATCTGGCGTGTTATTATTGTTCAGGCTTCACTAACGAGCTTCCCATTTGCCCTCATACCCTTTCTTTCACAATTGACTATGATTTCTAGAATTGATTCATTTTGTGGTGCCGCCTGTTGGTAATTTCTTCTGACATTACCGGAAGTCATTCCTATATGGTCAGCAACAATTACACATACTAAATACTCAAACATTAACATCATTCAATAAACTTACTAATATCCATCCACTGAACATACCAACATCCATTCTTGGTACACTAGTACATATTTAACCTACCAAAGCCCATTCACTAATACTCTAAATACATATAGACCACAAGATAGCAATGTTTGACCGAATGGCATTGTTTAAATAAACATACCATAACTATACATGCTTGCATCTACTAATTAAAGATGAACCTACACAACCGCAAACACTGAAATCTTTCATAAACTTAATCATAATGCTCAAGTTCTCCATTCTGGGCACAAAATTTGTAGCTAGAATTGCACTATTCTTTTCCATTTCAGTGCCACAAACAATTGCTGCAAGGTCTGTTCTTGGGTCACCATTTGAAACTCGAAAAGAGATCGCAGCCATGGCAAGAAAAAGAAAGATGATCATTTAATGTGTTTCACAAAAGCCACGATAGGCCCCATAAATTGGAACGTTTAGGATAAATCAAATCAAAATATCCCCGCTTCTCAGTGAAATCGCGACAAGTATAAGGAACTAGCAAAGAGGTAGAGTTAATTGTTATATGTCATTTTTTGACGTACTTGTATCCATGAGGCGAATAAGGAGAGAGTCGGTAATAAGCTGGTCCCGCCGGTGCCCAAGACGCCATCAGACGACGGGAATACTGTGGGAAACCTTTGAAGAAGTTTTAGAGTAAGCTCAAATTGCATGAGAGAGTAGTTTTGGATACCCTAAGGACACCCACAAAGTTTCGTTGCATGAGAGAGTAGTTTTGGATACCCTAAGGATACCCTAAGGACACCCACAAAGTTTCGTTGGGCCTAAATTACCATAAATGGGTGGGTTTTACACTATTGTGGTACATCCTCGGTAAACTAATCTCATTTATGGAAACTGTGTTTTCTCATTTCGGGATGAATTTAAAATGCTTATAACTTGCTCGTTTTGAGTCCAATTAAGCTCAAATTCGGGCACGAGCTAGATCTCGACGATCCGCTCGTTTTGATATATGGCATGTGTTATGGCGTGGCCTGAAATAAAATAATTTTTAGAGAGAAGATGGGCTCGAAACATAAAAAATCAAATTTTATAAAGAAGAACATTCAATTCTTTGAGAGACCATAGCTCAAAATCCGGATGTCGGATCATAGCAAGTAAGAGTCCATTGCGACCGTACTTCGAAGAGCTACAGTTTGATATAATTTTTTTATATATAATTGAAGACCAAATGACACGAATTTTAAGGTCGTAAATGATATACTTTTTCAGTTGTTGGAATCTCATTTTCTGGTGACTTCCTAAAATTGGAACGTGCTCAAACAGAGACTAAAATAAATGAAATTTATTGTAAAATGATAGTGATAGTGTCATCTTCAATTTGTGGTCAAAATGAAGGCTTGGAACGTCATAGATCATGCCATATTGGTGGTCGAAGAATCACAAGCTTATGGAACTTGGCCAAATTTTGGGTTCTTCCTAAAAATTCTGTTTCAAGACGTTCAAAGGGTATCAAAACGTACGCAATAATTTGAGCATCGATTCTACGACGATTGATCGCTTGAATTACCACTGTAAGAATCCGAAAAGGCTCCCAAGGCCTAGCAATGGCAAGAGGCCCCTTATGGAGGGATGATTTTGTCATTTGTTGAAAAGGGCTTATGGGTATTTTGGTCATTTGGTCAAAAAAGTGATTAATATTTTAATTCATAAAATGTGTATTTTTTGACAATTTTGGTAATTTTTTAGCATTCCACTCTTGTTTTGTGGTTGCTCTATATAGGAACTCAAGTCATTTGTAAAACAACTTGGTCATTTGTAATCTCTCTTGAGCAATTGAAGTAAATTCTTGAGTCCTTAGCTTCTTGCTTTCAATTTTCTTTCTAGTTCAAGATCAAGATGAGAGAAGAGAGAAACATTTTCTAGAGAGAGAAACTACCCCTAGAAGCCTACACTTCCTAGAACCCCAAAGTTCCAACTACCCTAGGATTTCCAACTCCCAATCCCATACTCCCTAGAATTCCTGGCATCCATACACCCCTAGCTTCCAATCCTATTCCATACTCCCTACACCCCTACCTTAACTAGCCTACATCCTACCATACACTATACACTATAGTACACCAAACACCTTAGCCTATCCCATACACCTTAGTTATCCTACACCTTACCCTATGCCATACACTCTAGTTTCAATATACCACTTCTCAACCTAATCTACCTAAATCATACACTTAAGCCTTAGACCCTAGTCTTGACCCACCAAGACCAAGACCTCTCTCTCTCATGTGCATACAAAGGGACCAATGAAGATGCACCTAGGCGCAAGCTTATTCTAGGTCCTCTCTCTCCGTTTCACTCTCTCTTTCTTTCCTTTCTCTCTTTCTCTCTCTATTCTTCTTCTCTCTTCCTTTCTCACTCTTCTCACTCTCTCTCTTCTCCTTCTCTCTTTCTTTCCCTCTTTCTCTCTCTCTCTCTCTCTCTTGTTCGGGCTCAGGGCGGGTTCAAGGCCTCATCCTCCCCCTTTCTCTTTCTCTCTTTCCCTCTCTCTCATGTCCAAACTCCTAGACTCACACTTAGGGTGGGCCCATCCTCTCTCTTTCTCTCTCCCTTACTTTCTCTCTTTCCCTATCACCAAGTGACAGACTTGTGACTTAGGCGGGTCTGCCCCACTCTCTCTTTTTCTCTTTAGCCTCTCGATCTCTCTTCCATCCACTCCTCCCCTTAGTCCAGCCCCTCTCTTCCTACACACTTCCATCTGCCCTATCTGCCCTACACTGCCATCTGCCCTACACTTTCATATGCCTCTATCCACTCCACATTCCATATACTACTCGATTCCCCCCACATTCTTGCACCAGTCCTCCATATGCTCTTCATTCTCTCACCTCTATTACCCTTCATTCCCCCTAGAGTCTGGGCCCGTACCATAGACGGGTCCATCATTCCTTGACCCCCAATCATCTCATTTTCTCTCACCTTAAGCACTTTCTTCTCTATTTAAGTCATATCTTAATTTCTCATTCACTTTAACTTATTTTTACTTCATCATTCTTTTATCCATCCCTTTGCTTGTTGCTTCCTTCATTTCTTGAGCACTCGACTTGGGGTTGTCCTGAGATAGTGCCTTAGGGTTCTAACTCTCAGACTGCTACTCTAACCACTAGTTGGGTCATAAGAGACGTTGATTATCTGATAAAGCTGATTCCATTATAGAAATTAAAGATGTGCTTGGACTTTACTAATGTGTTGCCAAGTTGCATGCCCTGGGTGCATTTAAAGAAGACAATAAATAGGAATCTCTTTGGGAATTCAACCCAAAGTGGAAATTTGTTGGAATGTCTTGAATCTCAGTTATGGTATCCTCTCCTTACCCTCTAAGTGATCTTTTTGTTAGTCAAAGGTTGCCTTTACTTTTGGTCTTCTATTTTTGGGTGATTTCCTTTTTTGTTGGGATCCCAATTACGTTATCAAGATAGACTTGTGAACTAAGATTAGAATAAAGTTAGGATTCCAATTAAGGGCTTGTTTTAAGTAGGTTCTACTGTGATTATGATAGACTAGTGAACCAAGATTAGAATAAAGTTGAGTTTATGAAGGTCTTGGAAAAAAAAAAGGGATCATTACGTAAGTCTTCTGGGTGCTTTTCTCCACTAAGGGTCAAAAAAAGAAGGAAAACTTGAGTGTGAATTGAGAGAAAATATGTACAGAATAAGACATATGGTGGGAGATTGAGTGTCCTTCTCTAAGGTAAGTGTCTTGTAATTTTTTATGTTTGAATGGATGGAAAACCATTAATGGTCTTCGCTCGTAGTTATAATCACATCTGTGACGAACAACATAAATTTCCTTGCACTTTATTTATCAAAAATTAACCCATCGAATTTTAGACCTCCTGTACACAACAAATATTACATATAACCGTGCACGTAGTATAAATTGTCCTAATGTAAGGTAATTCAAATGGGTCTACTTCACAATGAATTCTTAATTCTCATTTCTAACAAAATAAATCATTAAGTATCACATAAAAAAGCAATTTATTCCATACTAAAAAGAAACACGCTCCAGAAGACCCTTGTATGAAAAGGGTTCCTTATTATCCAAAACAAAAAAATACACTGCATTGGATCCTTGCAAGATCAAGGAGGTATTGCAAGATCAGGAGGTAGAAAGATAGTTTACGAGATCAAGAGTCATCAACATGAGCTTGGTCATATTGTTATTCCTCTGTGTGAGTGGAAAGCCATCCTTAGAGAACCCCTCCTCACAGTCCACCGGGTTAATGAGAAAGCCACTAATGTAGACTTTGAGATCGATGTAGTTCTTCTGCAGCAAAGCCGGCTTCCTGCAGATGGTCCACTGTTAGTTGATAAACATCCAAACAGTCCTCAAAACTTTCCTTCGTGTCACTGCCGCTCCTGTTTAACAGCTTCGATATGTAGGCGTAAGTGTCTGTTGCATTGGCTACCGTTATTTTGAGCGCAATGGCCGTGAGCCCAGCCAAGTCACTGGCAGAGGCGCCATCAGGGTCCGAGCCCAATGTCTTGACACAGAAGGTTTGGTCGGTTGTGTGATTGCAGGCTTCATTGATGAAGTTGTTTGTTTTTCTTTCTTCTTTTATTCTGTTAGTATGGGCAGAGGACATGGCCAGAGATAGGAACACAAGGGACAGAGTCATTACAGAGCAGTTCGACATTGACGTTGTGAGGGTCTTCTTCTCTACTTTGAGACCCCCAAATCTTAGAGAACCTGCCTCTCGAACTCGCAGGAAGGATTAGACCAATCATAGTTATATATACATCTTAACTTAGATTCTAATTAAAAGTAAAAAATCCTGTAATAAATTTAGCATATTGTTTCTTTAATCTCTTTCGTTGTTTTTAACCTCACTTTCCAATTTTTATGCAAGATTTGGAGAATATGTTGCAACCTTGGCATATTGGAAGGAAACGGGACACTAGAGAATTATTGAAGTTAAAAACTTGTATAAAACTAAAGGGGAAAAACTGAAAAAGATATGAAAGCCTTGTTAATTTGTCTAGAAACGCTTCAAGCTCCGTTCCTGTAGGGGTGCCAATGGACTGGGGTGGCTAGGCCAGGCCTGGTGGGCTTGTCTGAAAAAAACTAGGGCCTGGTTTACAAAATGTGGCCTGAAGGTCCGGCCTTGGGACAAGGAAAGAGAGGCTCGGCCTGGCACTTACTTTTTTATTTGTTTTTCTTTAATTTTCTTTAATTTTACGTGGTCATCTTTATAAGACGTAAAGTTGTAATTTTTAATACAAGACAATAATCTATTACAAATAAAGCTGTAAGACATTAACTTCCAAAATACCATCATATTTTTATAAAAAGTTTCAAATTTATCTTTATTTAATGATTAACTTACTTATTAAAATAAAATTTAAACAAAAAATAATGATTTTTTTATAAGGAAGATGGTTTATAGGTGTGCATAAGAAGTACAACTTGTTCTCGAGATACATGAAAACTGAAAGGTCTCTTTAAATGCTCCAACGCTCTCCCGTTTGATATAAGATTTACAACTTGTCTTTATACTGTAATAGGTGTGCATAAGTACAACTTGTCCTCAAGATACATGAAAATTGTAAAAGGTTGATATTGTAATAAGTGTGCATAGGAAGTACAACTTGTGCTCGAGGTACATGAAAACTGAAAGGTCCTTTTAGATGCTCCAACGCTCTATGGCTAGAGTCACAAGCCTCCATTTCTTCAACGGCTAGTGACATGCAAATAGCATCATCTCTTTGTATTAAGCGTATAAGGTATAAGAGTACCTACAATTAAGACCACTCAATTCACACTCTCCTCTTCAATGTGGGACTAAAAACCGCACAACTTTCTCTCTCTACAAAATACAGCCTAGAAAATACCATAAAAAACCATATTATCATTTTGAAATACATACAAGTATTTTTTAAAACAAAAAATACTAATAGATCGTCTATTGTCGATCCCCATCCAAATTGGCTGGATCGACAATTCAGACCATTCTATGATCATCCAGATCAATGAACAATATAAAACTAAAACAATAAACGTTATAAAATTAAAAAAAATAGAGGTTTATTGGGTGGGGATTTAACTGGGTCCAAGTACAACATTAGATAAGCTTAAAAAAAATATAAAAAAGAATGAAAATTGCATTCCTAGGAGGGAACTGGGTTTGGACCCATACCATCCTAGAAATGGTTCGGTCCCAATGGGTTTCACATCAGGATCGGTGATTCAGATCGAAAATTGCCATATTTTAAAATCCTAGATTATAGGAATCAAGCTTGGACTTGAGTGGTTAGTAGCTGGAATTTAACAACACTACATCTCAAGTTTGATTGCTACCACTAAATACTAAAAAAAAAATCCTTGGTATTAGAACAAGTGCAAAAACCGGTTAGACCACTTAATACCATTTTATTAGGGCAAGCTTTCTATGCTTACTCTGTAATATGAAACTTATATATTTCTCCTTATCCATCCATCCATTCTGAATAGAGGGGTAGGATTTCCCCAATTACAATGTCACGTCTCTATACTATTTTATTTTAAATTTTTTTATATAAATCTTTTGGACAAAAAATTTTGGGCGTCCAATCCTCTACTAAACTTGCACTAGTAAAAAATATAAAAAAATATTATCAATAAAATAAAATGACCAAAATATCCCTGAAAGATTCAAGGAGTATTTTGGTCATTATATTTTATCGAAAAATTATTCTTAATATGTTTTTAGGTGCACCCCAATGAGAATATGGCACGTACCAAATTTTATATTCATTCAATTTGTATAAAAAAAATTAAAAATAAAATACTCTGAGACGTTGGATATAAGGTTAACGCACTTGATGAAAATTGGACGGCTTGATGGTAGGGAAAGCATAGATCTTCTATGCTATAGGAGAAGTATAGAAACATTTCCCTTATTTATGTAGTCTGTTTACTTTTATCATATAAGTCTAATAGCATATTAGGAACTTAGTGGAAAACCAAAACTTTGGCCAATCGACCATTCTTGATTAGGAAACTAAAGGTTCTAACTCTCTTTATGTGCCATGGGAACGTAGACGAATTTTGAATTTACCTTGTCAAAATAAACTGTTTGTAAATTCAAATATTTGCAATCTCTTAATCTTAAAAGGGAATTGATAGGCTCATCCATGTGTCACCAACATTATTGAATTCATTTTCACCCATGTACATGCAGGGGAAAAAAAAAAATTGCAAAGTATACAACAAGACCCTTCATCTTTAGTATAAGTGATACAATTAATCTTGATTGTTGGATGTGAACTTAGATGGCTAAATTTATGCCATTGACCAAACGCAAACTTCAAAATAAATTTTTTTGTGATACATTGAAGTTACTAGATATCACAACAGATGCTTGTAAGTAATTGTGACTTCCTTGTATCAAAGGTAATGAAAAAACGACGTATGTGATCTTTTACCAGGGAATACTTTTTTTTTTTTCTTCATCCATTTCTTTTGGCAAAAGATTGCTTACAGGTGGTATTTATTATAATAAGATAAATTTCAAAATAAAATCAACATAACAATAAAACCAATATCTTAACAACTTGATGTCATTGCAACAAGTGTGCATTATACTTGAGAATGAAAGATAAGATTGCAAGAAATAAACGGAAGAGTGCCGGAGATTGCATCAACCGGGCTTATTACACCCCACACCGAGTCACCACCATCCGATGACGCGGGATCAATGGTCTCAAACCTGAAAAGCAAATTTCGGCCAAGCCACACCAATGGAACATGAACCCCTTTAATCACAAACTAAAACCTAGGTGAATTCTCTTAGCACCTAGTTTGAGAGAAATGAATTCTCTTTTTGCTACCCTTAGCCATAAATCCATATTTAAAAAATAGGAGAAAAAAACTCCATAACCAAAACCCTTAGGTTCTTTCACAATGTGGGAGAGAGAGATAACTTTGTTAAGAGAGAGAGATAGAAAGATAAGGTGTAGAGATTTTTTGGTAGAGACAATCTATTTTTATAGGCTTTGAATAAGATTAGAGTTTTTTTAGGGTTTTCTTTGGCTTGCCTCTTCTTGTGAGATTGAACATAGACCGTCGATCAAGGGGGACTTATGGGGTGAGAGATCTGAGTCATCTATTCCATAGATGGGCTATAGACATTATGGAAGGTGCATGAACTATTATCCCCCTTTCCTAAACCATTTTCTCATCAATAAAAATTAAATAAATTAAATCTAATCAAAATATTGTGTATACCATAAAATAGCACAAGTCTACTCAATCTTTCCAAAAAAATATTTCAAAAATATATCAAATCAATATCTTCCAACCATATGCCCACATGCCATATCATCAAAAAATAGAAAAGAGAATAAGGGTGGGGCCACCCAAAGGAGGCACTCATGGGCCCCACCTTCTAAAAATATGGCAGACCCATGTGCACAATGGGCCCCCATGATATTTTTATATATTGAAAATTAATAAAAGGATTTTAGAATATTATTTGAATAGTTAAACAATTTCTAAAATCAATATCTTTAATTTTATAAATCTAAAAATTATAAATAAAATATCCAGGGGTTCATAAAAATTCAAATAATAATATTAAAATAATTTTCATCATAAAACAAACACAATTAAATTAATTTGATGGGAAAAGGATCAATATGGTTTAGGAATCAATAATCATGGGGCACTCCACCTTCAACTATGGACTACATACCACACTTGCTTTATCAGACCGACCTAGTGTTTCCCATGACCCATAGTCCAAGCAGAGGCTCATCAGCGGGTCAGCAAAATCTGGCTGATGAGCCAAGGGATCGCAATCCCAGTCTGTGGATTTCAAATCATCCCCTAGAGACAAGTCAATGTCACCAATAGCTTATGCGACCACAACTCTATGACGCATAGGGTATCTCTCGCACATGCATACGCTTCACCCTAAAAGGTGGATTTCTAGCTTTCTCCAACGATCTATCGATATGCATGCCATGTGATGATACATGGATGAGGTTTTGGCCCCTGTCTCTTTAGGCCACCATCACACACAAGGTCACACAGTCCCTTGACTCACTCATCCGGGCATGTTCTCCGACCTCATCAAGGGCTAACCCATAAACCCTCATCGGTTTGCTCTTCATGCCCAGGTAACATGAGTTTCTCCCAACCGACTGGCCTTGATCGTTAAGTACATATCGGTATCAGCAAATCATCGTTTGCTTAGTATGGTCCATGAGGGACCACACTCCCACTGAGTTCATGTTCCACTATATCGTTTCATTTTACAAGTACTCATAAGGCCTTTAAAGGTCACATAAACCTAACATCTCCCACTTAGCCTTTAAAGGCCTTACATTCTCTCTTTATCACTTTTTCTCATTCTCATCTCTCTCTCCCAATTACAATCTCTCTCAAGCATTTTTACTGATTCTTTCAATACATTAATCATGGCTTTCGTCATCAATCCTTTCACAAAAAGATTTATAGAGGCAACATATTTTTCTTTTTTTTGCTCGAATCTCATCCCAAAAATGGTCGTAGCTCATCTTTCACATCGCATCGCGAATCATGGACCTGTTGTCACAAAAGACCATCACATACCCTCATCGCATGGGGTCGAATGTTCATGAGCTCAAAAGAGTTCTTCAAATAAGTTGCTCCCTTTTGAAGCCATACAACCAGCAC